GAACAGCAAGGGTTATATAGAGAAACCTGGTCTCAAAATAAAATCTCAGTTTGTTTGGTTTTGTGAGTTCAAGACCAACCTGGTCTTGGTCTCATAGGGTTACATAAAGAAACCTTGTCTCAAAAAAAAAAAAAAAAATCTGGGTTTGTTTGGTTTGGTTTGGTTGTTTCATTTTTGAATTCTGTATTTTGTCCAGGCTGGCTTGAAAACTGCTTCTCAAATCTCAGCCTCCTTAGTACCAAGATTACATGTGTCACTAGGCAGTGTGGGCACATGCCTTTAATCCCAGCATTTGGGAGGTAGAAACTGATGGATTTCTGCATTGGAGGCCAGCCTGGTTTGTTCACAGGTTCCAGGAGGACACACAGGGATACACAGAGAAACTCTGTGTGAAAAAAAAAAAAAAAGATTACATATGTCAGCTATCATGGCCACTTTGGTTTACTTTAACGTAAAAAAGATCCTCCTTGCTCCAGCCTCCCAAATGCATGAGATTACAAGCCAAGCACCACCATGCCAGGCTATCTTTAACATTTCCTAAAACATTTTACAGATGGGTATGGTGGATATGCTTTTAGTCCCGGCACTCAGGAGGCAGAGACTGGTGAATTTTTGTGAGTCTGAGGCCAGCCTGGTACACAGAGTTAGTTCAAGGCCAGCCAGGGAAATGTAGAGATAACCCCATCTCAAAACAAACAGACAAACAAAAAATACTTTATTCTAGGAGTAAAGAGCCCACATTGGTAGAACCCTTGTCTACCATGCTCGGAATGTGATCCTTAGCACCCAAAAACAAAAAAGTAAGCATTGTAGATTCACTACAATAATCATAAACAATCATTTTCATTCATTCATTAACTATCTCCTCAAAGCATATCAAACATACACACAATATATTTAAATTTCTTTCCTCCAGGTTTCCCCCATAAGACAGTGAACTCACTGTGTAAACCAGGCTGGCCTTGAAACTCAGAGATCAGCCTATCTCTGCTTCCGGAGTGCTGGGGTTAACGGTGTGTGCTACCACGACTGGCTTCCCCCAGTTTTTAAAGCACACAATGTCTTCATTCTTTCTTTTTCCTTTGCAAGAGTTTGACATGGTTTACTTTGTCCCTTATTAGTGGACACTCAGAATTCCAATGGTTTCATATTGCAAATGACTTAGATGACAAGCATAACCCAGCATATCATCTTGTCTTTAAAATGACTTTTTTTGGTGCTGGTGAAAATGAAAACTCAAGGGCCTCCTGCATGTAAACGCACACCCTTCCAGCAAGTTATACACTCAGCCCCTTAAAATGATCTTTAGAGAATAAAAGAAAAAACTGTATCTGGTTACCTTTCGTAAGTACCTAGACCTTTCTGTCACTTAGGGTTATGAGGAAGTGCCAAACATTCCTGGGCAAAGGATGGGTTTTCCTGAGAGACTGTATCTTTGAATTTCAGAACCATGACCTCTTTCTCTCCCACAGGGCTATGGCATGGCATACACTGTCCACAAGTGGTCAGAGCTCAGCTGGGCCAGTCACTGGGTCACTTTTGGATGCTGGATCTTCTATCGTCTCATAGGCTGAGGCATATGACCCTCACAATCCCCTTCAAGACCCCTCCTTAGGGTACCAGCCCTGATGGGGAATGAGGGAGGACCCTTTCTCTTCTCCTTGACCCCTCTCCATTCTTGAGCCCCAACACCCCTACACACAAACACATACAGCCTTTCCATGCCTGTCAAGCCCCACCCCACCACCAGGCGGGAAGGGGGTGGTCCTCGTTGGGGTCTAGGAGTGGTAGATACTTGGGGAAGCAGAGAGGAGCAGATCTAGGGCCTCCCCGCCTGCCTTCTCCCTTTTTATATGCAGTTTGTTATTGTCAAATAAAAGTAGAAATATACAATCGTCTCGTTCTTCACTGGTCAGAGAAGAAGATGAGAAAGCAAAGAAAGTACAGCACAGATGAGGGTTGGGAAGCAGATTGTGGGGAACAGATTGTGATGTTTGCAGTGAATTTAAGATTCTTCACGATTGGCGGTGAATTTAAGATTGTTCATGATTGGCTAATGAGTTCAGGATGGCAGGGTCCTGATCCTGCTTATGTGGAGCAGGGATAGATTGGGAGGAGGGGGTTAATAATAAATGAGAGAATTGAGGGATCCCTATTCTGACTGGTCTCTCAGATCAGGACAGAAAGGGGGAGGGCAGGATGTGAAGGGTAGGTGTTTATTGGTCCTTAGTATTAAGGGTTGCAGGTTATAATTAAATTGAGTCTGAGGAAAGTCTGTTTTCTGACTGAATGCTGGTGAGGTGTGGTTGCCCACCGGCTGGTTTAGCGTTCTACTTGTTTGGCTCTTCAGAACTGGCATGTAATCCCAGTACTTGGGAGGCAGAAACAGGTGGATTTCTGATTTTGAGACAAGCCTGGTTTACAGAGCGAGTTCCAGGAAAGGCTCTAAGGTTACAGAGAAACCCTGTCTTGAAAAACCAGAAAAAGGAAAGAAAAAGAAAAAGGCACGGTTGAGAGTCTGCACGCCAATTGGTCAGCAGGAGCGAGGGTTCTGGGTTATGAATAGTTTCGATTTGAAGTAGGGTCTGGTGAGGATGGCCGTTGCTTTTAGCACTGGGGAGTTTTGAGCTGAGGTGGGTGCTAGGTTTATGCGAAATGCGATCTACCTGTCATATTCTCTTTGCATTCGGACTGAGGCTGGGCCTGGGAACTGACTGGTTGCCTAGAAAACTATGAGATAGAGGGTCACTCAACGCTGATTCATTAACACATGTCGATGAGTTACCCCTTCATTATCCTCACCTCCTGCAATTGATATGGGGGCGGGAAGATTGAAGCTCAGAATAAAGTAGATTTCCTGCTTGGAGGGTCCAGGTCTCCACCCCACTGCTGACTTAGTCTCAGCCAACAGGGGAGGTGGCACCACGGGCGAGGACAGGGCTTGAGACATACGGAGGACTCCTATTGGCAGAAACAACCTCCTCCCCTTCACTATTGGTCCGCTCCATTAGGCGGGGAAACTGCGAGGGCTGGGCGAAATTGGGGCTGTTTGGGAGCCATCATCGCAAGCCTAGTGCTAAGAAGTCGCCCTGCGATCGTGCCGCTTAGGTGAGTACCCTCCGCCCGCCAGGTGCCCGAGTCCCCACACGTGCCCGGACCCTCCACAACAGCCACCTGCAGGAGAGCCCTGCCCTATCCCGCCCTAAAGCGGTTGTCCAGACGACGGAAAACTCGCCTTCTCGTTGGGCAGCTGCAATGGAAGTTTCTGGTTATGATTGGTGGTGTTTGGGCTCGGTTCCCCTTTCTCCCGGTTAGCGCTGCCCTTGAGACCCTGCCTTTGCCATTCATTTTGGGTTGCTGGCTGCATGGTACACTAATTGCCTGGAGTCTGACTTTTGGAATGTGGTGCTGGGGGCTGTAGCTCTGATTGGTCATCTCTACACCCCACCAACAACTACCCCCGCCCCCCCCGCCGCCACCTGTATTTCCTGGACCCCAGGGCAGGAGTAGCTTCCAGTTGAATGATTCCAAGCCACTGTCTCCCGCTGTGGACTCAAACTAGCTATGTTCCTGTGTCTTTCCCTGAACCCCAAGTGCTGGGACCTGGCTTGCTGACAGTGACTCTCCCACTAGAGTGTGACCAATGCTGTCCATGGGCAGGACTGATCCCTGTGTGTCCTTCACTAGATTGTGATCCCTGAGGGCTGAGATCAAGGCCTTTGGTTCTTGTCACTTCCACCAGACTGTGACCAATGAGGACTGGGACCAGAACTCCTATGTGTGTCCTTTACCACATTGTGACCCCCTGAGGCAGCAGAGTCTGTGACTAGTAATGGGAAATAAAGCTTGTTGTAGCTGGCAGTGCCTCCTGCTGATACCCCCTTGGAGCCTCGGGCCTCCGCTTAGGTTCACCGGAGGCCGTGAAGCCTGCCATGTAAGAAAATGTTAGCATGTATCACAGTGAAGCAGCCAGTGCGTTTCTTAAAGCAGAAAACTACACTTGATGACAGGGTTAGGAGAAGGGTGCACCTCGGTGCCCAGCAGAAGCTATCTGTCTAATTTGAGGCTCTTGGGAAGACACTCAGTCTCTACGTTTATTTATTCGTTTGAATACAGGATCATGCTGGGTAGCTCTGACTACCTTGGAACTTTCTAGGTAGACCAGGCTACCCTGGACCTCAATCCCTCGGCCTCCAGGATTTCAGGCATATGCTACCACACATTGTCATAACTAACTTGAAGTATTAGGGAGAGTATGTGCTTGTGTCTTTACTTTTTTAAGCTGCTGTCTTTGAAGACGAGATTTCAGAATAGCACACAGGTGAAGAAGGCAGAGAAAGCGTGTTGCTCAAAGGCATCCTTACACACATTTTGCAACGACTTTGGACTTAAGTCCATTAGCCAGCTTTGACAGTTTTGCTTTTGCTGTTTCCCAGAAATGAGGTGTAGTTCTTTTACAGGTGAACTGGCTAAGTATGTCAAAATCCCTGACATCATTCCCAGAGAGTGGGGAGGGCCTTTTCCCTGCTCATGCCCACTCTGATTTCCTAATTAGCCCTCCTGTTTCACCAGTCTCCCAGAGGCCTGGGGCAAACCTTTATTATTTATGCAGATTCATGTTTTAGTTGCTTTTTTGAATATTAATTTTATTCTATATGTATGAGTGTTTTGCCTCCATGTATGTATGTATCCACAGGAGCCAAAATGTGTTGGGTCCCCTGGAACTGGAGGTACAGATGGTTGTGAGCCACCATGTGGGTGCTGGGAATTGAACCCAGGTCCTTTTCAAGAACAAGTGCTCTAAACCACCAATACATCCTTCCAACACCAGTTATATTCTTGAAATGGCTCAAAATTAAGGTTTTTTTTTCTTTTCTTCTCTTCTTCCCCACCCCTCCCTCTGAGACAGGGTATTGCTGTGTACCCTGCTTGACCGGAAACTCACTATGTACTCCAGGGTGGCCTCAAACTCAGAGAGTTTGGGATTAAATGCCTGCAACACCAGGTCCAGCTAAAATTGGTCTGTTTTTAATCTGGTCTTACAGTAATTCCGTCAAATAATAGATCCAGTTCATTTACATTTCTTGTTGCGAACTGTTTGGATTTGGTTTAATTATCTCACCATGTGCTTTCTGTTTGCCCAGGTTTTTCTGTTTCTTTATTCTCCCTGTTTATCTTCAAGCAGCCAGTGGCCCATAGAAACATGGCCAACAGTATGGGCCCCTTACACCCATACTGGCCCAGGCACCTGAAGCTGGACAACTTTGTGCCTAATGACCTCCCAACCTGTCATATCCTGGTTTGCCTATTCTCTGTCTCTGGCGTCCTAATGGTGATCACGTGGCTGTTGTCCAGTCGAGCTTCTGTTGTCCCGCTTGGAATTTGGCGTCGACTGGCCCTGTGCTGGTTTGCCGTGTGTACATTCATTCACCTTGTGATTGAGGGTTGGTTCTCTTTGTACCATGACATCCTACTTGAAGACCAAGCCTTCTTATCCCAACTTTGTGAGTCCTGAATTCTTATACTGTGGGAGGGAATTTTCTGGGTAGAGATTAGTTTTGCTATTTACATCCCCCAGCCCACCCCCATGTTTGTTTGCTTACTTGCTTGCTCCCTTTCTTTTTTATTCTGTTAACTTCCTTTTAAAGCCTAAGGAGTTGTTATCTGTGCTGGGATTTTTTTTTTCAATTTTTAAGATTTAATAATTTTGGGCTGGGCTCAGGGTTAAGAACACTGGCTGTTCTTGCAAAGGACTCGGGTTCAATTCCCAGCACCCAAATGGTGGCTCACAGCCATCTGCAACTCTAGTCCCAGGGGATCCCATGCCTTCTTATAGCCTCTGAGGTTAGTGTACTTACACACACAGAGATTTAAAAATAACTAAAAAATGGCTCACAGAGATCTGTCTGTCTCTGCTTCCTGGGTGCTGGGACTAAAGGCAGGAACCACCACTGCCTGGCAGCCATCTTCTATTATTTTTCCAGACAGTATCTCATGCAATCTGTGCTGGCTTCTAAATATCTAAATAGATAAAGGATGACCTTGAACTTGGGATCCTTCTGCCTCTACTTCTCAAGTTTGGGGGGCCGTGGTGGCACACACTTTTAATCCCTGCAGGCAGACCTCTTTGAGTTCAAGACCAGCCTGGTCTATAAAGTGAGGTTCTAGGACAGCCAGAGCTGTCTCGAAAAAACAAAACCATAGTTTGTTGTCATAAAGTGATTATCAGAAATATGAGTCCCTTTTCCTGACTTGATTCTTCTTGTGTCTGCCTCAGGGAAAGAGTATTCCAAGGGAGACAGTCGATACATCCTGTAAGTATTTTACCTCTATCAGTGGAAACCTACATTGATGTGGGCCAGTGGTGAGTTGGGGGCAGAATACAATGATGCCAGTGTTCATCTTTTCTCTTGCAGTAATGATGGCTTCATCGTCTCTATGGAGACTATCACAGCTTTTCTCTGGGGACCACTCAGCCTGTGGGTAGTGATTGCTTTTCTCCGCCAGAAACCGTTCCGCTTTATCCTACAGCTGGTGGTCTCTGTGGGTGAGGAGAAAACCTATACCTGGCATTGCAAGGGCTAATGGGGGAATTTATAGATACAGGCACATCCCTGTGAGTGAGATATTATAAGTGTCCACTCAGGGGTGAGAGACATGCTGAATATTCTTGGTATTCTGAAACTTCCAAATCTCTCTCCAGCTTGCCTCTCCAGCAAGAATGTCTGTTTCTCTTCCTTCTCCATCATAATCTCTTAGGAAAGTCCCTGGATCCTCTAGGATTAGGACCTAAAGTGTTAGCCTTTTTTTTTTTTTTTTTTTTTTTTTGCATATATGAGCTCTCTTTAGTCCTGAAATCCAAGTTGTCATGAATTCTAGGATTTTACACTCACCTTCAATTCTAGAACTATGAAGTCTCCTGAGTTGCATTTTCCATGCTCTTTCTGGGTGTGGAGGTACATGCCTGTAATCCTAGCATTCAGAAGGCTGAGGCAAAAGGATCAAGACACATTCTCTCTCTCTCTCTCTCTCCCTCTCTCCCTCTCTCTCTCTCTCTCTCTCTCTCTCTCTCTCTCTCTCTCTCTCTCTCTCTCTCTCACCCACCCAGACACACACACACACAGGAAGAGAGGAGGGTTGAAGGGAAGAAAGGAAAAAAAAAAAACATTTCCCACACTGATTTCTGCAATTTGTACTTTGTTATCTCAGATTTTCAGCTTCAGTTTCAGACTTTGGGCTGAGCTCTGAGTCCTTGAGAAATGACTTGATAAATGCCACGGAAGGGAGTCTTGGCTTAGCTTCCTTGTTCTCACAAGGGCTTTTCCTTCTCTTACCTCCCACAGGCCAGATATACGGGGATGTGCTGTACTTCCTGACAGAGCATCGGGATGGATTCCAGCATGGGGAGCTAGGCCACCCCCTTCATTTCTGGTTTTACTTTGTTGTCATGAATGGCATATGGCTGGTGGTACCTGCAATTCTAGTGCTTGATTCCATAAAGCATCTCACTTATGCCCAGAGCATGTTGGACAGCAAGGTCATGAAAACTAAGAGCAAGCATAACTAGAGAGCACTAGAGTGGGCCCATACACTGAGGATGAGGCACCCTGCCCATATTCCAGAAGATTTAAGTCCTCCTCCCACAGGTTGGAGGGTCACAACTATCTGATGTGTCACACTCAGGCTGATGAGTGGGCACAAAAAGGACCACTAAGGAAAAGTAGGGAATGTATAGAGTCATTGGGGAAAAATAAAAGACAGGGTGGGGGAGGGGGGCTCCGTGATGGTGGCAATTTTCAAAACCGGGAAATAAAATACCTTTAATTATAACACTGAGAGATATTTAATTCCTAATCCTACCATGTCATGTAACTAACCCCACAGACCTCCCATCACTTACTTAATCATCCATAGGCCTCCATCATCACATAGCTATTCCATGTCTGGCTTTACAAACTCTTAACACTAACTCCACACACTCCCATGATTTACCCTGTAGAAGCTTGAACGCAATACACAGACCTTCATTCACGAGCACCCTGTCACTTACCGTGTAAATCCTGCCAGTAACCTGGTAGTTACCTTATATTAGCTTGGTCCATCAGCCATAACAAAATGATATGGATTGAGCATTAAGCAAGAGACATGGAAGTTCTCAGTACTGGAGCTGGTCAGTCAAGGTGTTGGAAGGTTTGGCTTTTTTTTTTTTCCACCTGAAGCCTCTTTCCTAGCACTGAATTCTGTGTTCTCACATTTCCCTGTATGCTCAGCTTCTGCGGTTCTTTGTGAGCAACTTTCCTCTTAGGACATCATTCAGATTGGATTAGGGCCCATTGGACCAGCCTCATTTTTAACTTCACATCTTTTAAAGACTCTGTCATCAGGGGCTGCAGAGATGGTTTAGCACTGACTGCTCTTCCACAGGTCATGAGTTCAATTCCCAGCAACTACATGGTGGATCACAACCATTTATAATGAAATTGGGCGCCCCCTTCTGGCCCACATGGAAATGTGCATGCAACACTATACATAGTAAACAGGTCGTCGTCGTGTCCCCCCCCCCCGCCGAGATGGTTTCTCTGTATTGCTTTAGAGGTTGTACTGGAACTCGCTCTGTAGAACAGACTGCCCTCAAACTCATAGAGAGCCACACGCCTCTGCCTCCCAAGTGCTGGGATTAAAGGTGTTTGTCACCAATGCCTGGTAATAATTAAGTCTTAAAAAAAAGATTATATCCAAGATTCTTAAAGTAAGGCCTTCAATATATGAACTTGAAGAGGACACAGTTCAATCCATAACATTCCTGCCCTGTAGTCTCCCTAAATTAACTCTTGTATGCAAACTTTGTTTATCCCATTCTTCATCCTGAAATCCTTCACTTATTCTGGAATTAACTTTTTCCGGGGTGAAGTTGAAGTGCTGGAGATCAAAGAGAATCCATCATCTTAAGCAAGGCTCTGTCCCTGAGCTACATTCATCACTCATGAATGAACGTTTTGTTTTGTTTTGTTTTTTTGAGGTTTGTTTGTTTGTTTTTTGAGACAGGCCTTCTCTATATAACAGCCCTGGCTGTCCTGGAACTCACTCTGTAGACCAGGCTGGCCTTAAACTCAGAGATTCATCTGTCTCTGCCTCCCAAGTGCTGGGATTAAAGGCGTGAGCCACCACTGACTTTTTTTCTTTCTCTTTGCTTGTTTCCTTTTGTTTTTCAGATAGGTCCTAATGCTGTAGTCCAGGCTGGCCTGGAACTAATTATGTAGCTAGAATTGTCTAAGACTCATGGCAATCCTCCTGCTTCAGCCTCCCCAATGGTGGGATTATAGGTATGAGCTACCCTCCCCCCCCAGTAATCTTCAGTGCATTTCTTAGAAATCTCAACTAAAAAAAATCCAAGTTTACCACTTACAAGTTCTACCTTTTCTAGTTCAGTCAGGTTTTTTTGCCTTCCTGTCAGTTCCCTTGTGTTCCTTATTTCCACATGAGACCTCAACAGAAATACCTAGAATGTCCACTTTTTACAAAGTCTTTTTTTCTTTTTAAATTATTATTATTTTATGTATATGGGTATTTTGCTTGCAAGCATGTCTGTACACCACATGCATGTAGGGCCTGCTGAGGTCAGAAAAGGGCATTGGATCCCATGAAACTGGAATGAGAGTCAGTTGTGAGCTGCCATGTAGGTACTGGGAATTGAACCGATCCTCTGAAAGCAGCCAGTGCTCTTAACCACGGAGCCATCTCTCTTCCCCAACCCAACAGTCTCTTAAGGCAGTTGTCTTAGTCTGTCTGGGCTGCTATAAGGAAATATACTGTAATCTGTGTATCGTATAAGCATCAGAACTTCTTTAACACAGTTCTAGAAGCTAGTACCAACAGATTGGACATCTAGTGAGGGCCACTTTTCACTTTTTCACTGTGTCCTTACATAGTTGAAGGTTTAGAACTCGTCTCTGTCTCTGTCTCTCTCTCTCTCTGATCTTTGGAGACAGGGTTTTCTGTTTAACAGCTCTGGATATCCTAGAACTATCTCTGTAGACCAGGCTGGCCTTGAACTCCCAGCCTCTGCCTCCCCAGTGCTGAGGTTAAAGGCATATGCCACCACTGCCCAGCTTCTCTGGTCTCTTCTTATTTGGCCACTAAATCCTATATCCACCTCCAAATATTGTCACACTAAAGATTAAGTTTCGGTATAGTAATAGGATGACACAATCAAAACCAAACTTTTTAAAGCATGTACGCCAAAGCTCTTCCTCTACCCATTATCTTTAGATGTTATTACAGTAGCCTCCATCTTACTCAGTATCAAGTCTGTACTAACTACCATAGATCAAGAGGCCGTGGGGTGGGGGTGTAGATAGTTGTTCATATAACTGCGACTGACCTTGAATGCCTGATCCATTGCCTCCATTTCTTAAGTACTGAGGTTACAGGTGTTGTGACTGGCTTCCATATGGCTAAGACAACAGGAATATTCTGGATCTGGTAGGGTAAGCTATTTGATATAGCTTGAGGCTATAGCTTGAGGTTCTCTTGTTCAAGGGAACCTCAAGTTCAAGGCCAGCCTTAGCAACTTGGTGAGACCCTGTCTCAAAAATTAAAAAGAGGGCCAGGCATGTTCTACCACTCAGGAGGCAGAGGCAAGTAGATATTTGGGTTCTGAGGCCAGCCTGGTCTAGATAGTAAGTTCCAGAACAGCCAGGGCTTTATGGAGGGACCCTGTTCGCCACCCCCCACCCCGCAAAAAAAGAGGGCTGGGAACACAAATACATGGTAGAGTACTCAGCTAGTTTGTGCAAGGTCCTTCTTTTAGTCCACAGTGCAACAAACAAACAAACAAACAAACAAACAAAAAAGCCATGTCTTCTCAGCCCTGAAGGCTGCAAGTTCATGTTCATTTTGTCAGGTTTGATTGTCATGAGGCTGCTGTCCTTGGCTTGCAGATGGCTATGTCTCACTGTGTCTTCATAGTGTCTCCCTTCTTTGTAAACCATGTCCTAATTGCTTTGTATCAGGACACCAGCCAGATTTTCATTCGAGCTCAACCTACCGGCCTAATTTTTTTTTTTTTAAACTCATTTCATCTCTTTAAAGGCACTACCTCCAAATATAGCAACTATATAAGATACTGGGAATTAGAACTTTAGCATGAATTTTTTTTGGACTTGCATTACTCTGATTAATCATCATAGATATCCCCCACACTACTACATAGAACCGAAGAAACTCCCAATGCTCACTGTAAAAATCCCCACCACAAAGTCTAAAGATCCCCAGCTCTAGCCCTACAGACATCATCACTCTCATAGACCTCATCTTGCCCCCATGGGCCCCATCACTAACTACATAATTTATATCACTCCACAGACTCTGCACCATTCACCTCACAGAGCTTTCCCTGAATCATTTAGCTCCTGGGCTCCTAATCACTCATTCCACAGACTCAACCATCATGAACCTTACAAAACTCACTCCATAGGCCTTTCCATTCACCTCCCAGATAGCCTATCATAATTCATTCAGCTGCACCATTATTCCCCAAGCCCTGATCTTTCACAACATAATACCCCATCACTTACCTTACAGACCAGCACAACAACAATGTCTACAGATCACTATCCCACAAAGCCCCTGTCACCTGACAGCACATCATCAGTCACCTACAGATCCCTAACCACTCACCCTAAAAACCAACTACAGTCCCCTACAGACTCATTCATTATTTGCACCATAGGCTCCATCATTAACCCTGTCCCTTACCTCTCAATGCCTCTTATTCACTGTAAAGACTCTCCACCAATGAACTTACCTATCACTACCCCACAAGTCCTCATCAATCAGCTTCCAGTATCTTAATCACATCTAACACAGGCCTCGTCTGTGTAAAGCAGGACTTCAGTTCACATCCTGGCTTTATTCTGGTTTTCACTGTAACTTTGGAGAAATGCCTTCTTGAATAAGTACATTTCAAGAGGCAGCAAGTATGGCAATAACAGGAATCCTACCAGCAGTCAAGAAATGCCTGACCAGCCAAATGTTAAGACCAAAGTCCTGCATAATTTCACCTCAATTCTTTCAGTCCAGATGTTGTCACTCAATAACCTGCCTTATTTAAAGACATGCTGACTTTGCTTGGCCTCACACACTAGGCACAGCCCCAATTTCTGACCACTGTGCTACCTACTCTTGGTGTTACTTTGCCTTTTGACCTTGAACTTGTTTCTCCACAGCCTTTAATACTAACACTTCTCAATGGTGAGTGATAGCTAAAATACTACTATTAATAACATCTACCTCATTAAGTTTTGAATACAGATAAAAATGAACTGATATATGAAGTCTGTCTAGCATATATACTTTGTTGACAGAAGAATGAATAAAGAAACAAAAGGAAAAGTTCTCCCCATAATAATAGCAAGGGCCTCCTGTTTATCTCCTTGATTCCAGTATCTTTCTGTCTAAGCCCCCTGCACACCCAAGAAAAGACATCTTACCCTGTCAAAAGGGTATGCCAATGCTTTCAATGCTAATGGGTTGATCATTCCACTTTAACGTAACTGAAATGAGAATCAGACTGTCAAAATCTTTCCCAGCATAAAAATCCACTAGTGATCTGGGTGGTGGTGGTACACACCTGTAATCCCAGAACTCATGAGGCAGAGGCAGGCGGATCTTTGTGAGTTCAAAGCCAGCCTGGTCTACAGATCGAGGTCCAGGAGAGCTAGGGCTATTACACAAAGAAAACCAAGAGAGGGAAGGCT